TCAGTCCCACATGACGTGATGAAATCAGGAAACTTCCAAAATAGCCAGTGTGACACCATCCACTCGCATGCAAGGCTTACCAGAAGTATTGTGACCCCCTACTAAGAGTGGTCAATCAATGCTCTTGATATTGGTAACATCATAGATATAAAATTGTCCTCCAAAGACAGCCTGAAAGAGTGACAGAGAATCGTCTAAACTGCCTCCTAAATATTGGTTTGCAGACCCTCCAATACGAATCAGTAAAGCCGAAACTCATTTGTAAAACTTCCTCAAGTTTTCTTTTTGTGCCTGGTTGATCAGTCAGAACTCTGGTGATGGACTTGCAAACACGAATTTTGGACAGCTTAGAAGCACCTTCTCCAGACACCTTAGCCACTCTGAGTTGTGACTGCTCAACCTTGAGGCCATCTAACTGCTGTAATACAGTTGCAAGAAAAAGTATGTGAAACCCCTTGGGATTACGTGGAGTTTTGCATGAATTGGGCATAAAATGTGCTCTGAACATCATCTAAGTCACAACAATAGCAGAACACAGTCTGCTGAACATAATACTACACAAACATTAGATGTTGCCATGGTTTAATTGCACATAACATGTAAACATTCACAGTGCAGGGAGGAAAAAGTATGTGAACCTTTGGACTTAATAACTGGTTGACCCTCCTTTGGCAGCAATAACCTCAACCAAACGTTTCCTGTAGTTGCAGATCAGACCTGCACAACGATCTGGAGTCATTTTGGACCACTCCTCTTCACAAAACTGTTTCAGTGTAGCAATATTCTTGGGATGTCTGGTGTGAACCGCTCTCTTAAGGTCATGCCACAGCATTTCAATCGGGTTGAGGTCAGGACTGTGACTGGGCCACTCCAGAAGGCGTATTCTGTGCTGTTGCAGCCATTGTTTTGTTGAATTACTTGTATGCTTTGGGTCATTGTCCTGTTGCATCACCCATCCTCTGCGGAGCTTCAGTTAGCGGACAGATGGTCGTACGTTTTCCTGCAAAACGTCTTGATAAACTCTGGAATTCATTTTCCCATCAATGACAACAATCCATCCAGGCCCTGAGGCAGCAAAGCAGCCCCAAACCATGATGCTCCCTCCGCCATGTTTCACAGTGGGGATGAGGTTTTGATGTTGGTGTGCTGTGCCTTTTTTTCTCCACACATAGTGTTGTGTGTTCTTCCCAAACAACTCAATCTTGGTTTCATCTGTCCACAGTATATTTTGCCAGTAGTGCTGTGGAACATCCAGGTGCTCTTTTGCAAACTTCAAACGTGCTGCAATATTCTTTTTGGACAGCAATGGCTTCCTCCGTGGTGTCCTCCCATGTACTCCATTCTTGTTTAATGTTTTCCGTATTGTAGATGTGTCAACAAACATGTTAGCATGTGCCAGAGATTTCTGTAGGTCTTTAGCTGACACTCTGGGATTCTTCTTTACCTCATGCAGCATTCTGCGCTGTACTCTTGTCATTTTTACAGGACGACCTCGCCTAGGGAGAGTAGCAACAGTACTAAACTTTCTCCATTTGTAGACAGTCTGTCTTACCATGGACACATGAACATCAAGGCTTTTGGAGATACTTTTGTAACCCTTTCCAGCTTCATGCAAGTCAACAATTCTTGATCGTAGGTCTTCTGAGAGCTCTTTTCTGCGAGGCATGGTTCACATCAGACAGTGCTTCTTGAAACCAGTAAACCCAAAACAGGGGTGTGTTTTTTAAGGGCAGGACAGCTGTCAGCAAACACATCCAATATCATCACACTGATTTGGAGTCAAGGTTGGCTCACTCCTGGCTCCAATTAGCTCTGGGAGAAGTCATTATAGGGCCTCACATACTTTTTCCTCCCTGCACTGTGAATGTTTACATGTTATGTGCAATTAAACCATGGCAACATCTAATGTTTGTGTAGTATTATGTTCAGCAGACTGTGTTCTTCTATTGTTGTGACTTAGATGACGTTCAGAGCACATTTTATGCCCAATTCATGCAAAACTCCACGTAATCCCAAGGGGTTCACATACTTTTTCTTGCAACTGTAGCTCTTCCTTCTTCTTACCGTGCAGGTTTCGGGCCTTCATTTTAGCCAACTCCTGTTTATTCCAAATCCACATGCTCACATGCTGTCTCTAAGCTGTCCAGAATTCATGTTGTTTGCAAGTACATCACCAGAATTCTGACTGTGATCAACCAGCATCCACTCAGCGAGGGAGAGAGGCCAGGGCTGCTCTGTACAAGACCCTTGCATAGAGCACATAAGCATGATGTGTTCATTATTTAATTTAAAAAAAAATCAATCCTTTAGAATCACTAAAGAAATGTTCCAAAACATCCCCAGATCAGGAATAGTGGGGATATCTTCCAATGGGGAGGCTACTTCTGGTGACCCTGGGGACAACCAGAGATTTCCTCACTTTAGAGAAATTTTCTCTGATTTCTTTATTTGGCTATGGGACAGGAAGTGAAAGGTCATTTTCCCAGTGGGACACATATGGTAAAAATAAACCTTACAAGGGTCATATCCCTTCCTTATTCTATTTAAAATCCAAAAGGTTTTGCCTTTAGTTCTACTGTAAAGATTAAGGTCAGCAGAGGCCACCTATGATCTCCAACTCAACCCCCCGAAACCGCACATGGAAGGGGCATTTTGCCATCTGTATGTAAGGAGGGATTCTAATGTAAGGGGGAATCTGATGGAAACTCGGATGCAACGTGGGGCTCTGACAATGTGGGGCTCCAATGGTGACCGCAATGTAAAGGGAGGGGAGTTCTAATGGTGACCCTCACTACAGAGCAAGTCTGATGGTGACTCTGGTGTAAGGGCGACCCTAATGAGTTTTCTAAAGTAATAATTAATGTAATAATGAATCTAATAGGGACCCCCATGTAAAAGGGACCCTGATGTAAGAGGGGGCTCTAAGGTGGACCATAAAGTAAGGGGGGACTATAATAGGGACCTTGACATAAGGGCAGCTCTGATAAGGACTTTGATGTAAAGGGAACACAGATATAAAGGAAACAGAAACAGAGCCCCCGATGTAAGGGGGGATTTTTTCATCCCGCAAATATTTGTAAAATATACAGCGTGGCCCACATAGTGCAATGTTTTGAGACCCCTGGTTTAGACTAAAACCAAATCAGCTCTAAAATTATTATTTTATTTCTGGACTTTGAAGACCAGGGTTTCTCAACCAGGGTTCCTCCAGAGGTTGCTATGGATTCGATGACCAATGAGCAATTTCTGCCTGTCAGATAAGTTCCCACTGACACTATTAATCATTTTAGTGATCTATAAAGGGTAATCCTTCCCACTGATCATCATATTAATGTATCATGAGTTGTAGATATAGTAACTTTTAGCAGGGTTCCCTGAGACCAGAAAGTTATTTCAAGGGTTCCTCTGGAGCTGATTTACCAAAACTGGAGAGTGCAAAATCTGCTGCAGCTGTGCATAGTAACCAATCAGCTTTTAACTTCAGCTTGTTCAATTAAGCTTTGACAAAAAAACTGGAAGCTGATTGGTCTTTATGCAGAGCTGCACCAGATTTTACACTCTCCAGTTTTAGTAAATCAACCCCTCTGTGTTGAAAAAGTCTGCTGTAGAAATTGGGAAGCTGGTCATGCTCCATGCTCACTTCTCATCTACTGGGCCCTAGGCACCTGTCTAGGTCACCTTATTGGGTGACCCAGCTCTGCCCAGGAGTTCCCACACCACTGGATACAGCCAGTAGTGCCCTGTTACCCATGACACTTTCATTTTCCTGGATGCTGCATGCCACTCTGTGAGTTTATGGAAGTGAATATACCGTTTGTATAGATCGATGTAAGGAGCGTGGGGCACAGGAGACCCAAACGACAAAATGGCTCATCAGATATTTTACGGGATGAGCTGTGCAAAAGGGTATAGTGGTAGACTTCTCTGGAAAAAAATTGCAATAAAGCTAAAGGAAACATCTGGCATGCAAAGTTTGTGCATAACCTTCAATACTTTTGCATTGTTTGCCTTTGTTATGATGGAAAACCAATTTTTTAATTCCCTGAAGGTATCATGGCACAGTTCCTATGAATTTTATGCAGTGTAATAGTAGCGTACTTGATTTCACTGTCTCTTGGGGTAGACAGCTCTAAATACACATATTTTATTATTTACTAGTAGCAATAGTCCTCACCACAGTTCAGCTTTTTTGCTCTTCCAGCATCAGAAAGACATAATCAAAGGTTAAAGCTTAGACAGTTTGTCCACAAAAATGACATGTAATACATAAAAATAGATCCTCCATTTGCCATGCAAGAACACTTAATAAAGTTTTAGTGAAAAAAAAAAAAAGTATCAACAAAATAAAGCTATAGACAAGCACGTAAAACTCCTCATGCACATGTAAGCCGTGTACCGGGGTGGGCTCCCCAGGATACAGTGAAGTCACGAACGAGGAAAGCAACCCCAACACCAGCTTTTGCCACAACAGAATTTTACTTAGATGTGGCAAATAAACACAACCACAAATGCTGGAAACATACAATAAATTTACATACACCCAGCCCAAAGGCTGAGACCCTTGTGCTGCACAGCACGGCACCTTCTGATGGATGAAGGTAGAAAGTGAAGTAATTTACCTACTGGTGGGCATAACTAAGCTGCCACACCTTACCTGTTATTACCCTAAAAGAGCAGGAATCAGTGTATGGGTGTATGGTATGGGCTAGCCTGCAGTGCAGCACAACAGCTTACAATCTTACACAAATCTACAGTATTCCCCCTCCCATAACTGGTCCTGTAGCACGTGCCTGAGTATTCCTTCTGAGCAAAATGCCAGTCTGGCTTGAGTTTGTAGGATTTTATCAGCTCTGCAATGTGAAATGTCACTTTAAGTTGTGGAGTCCTTCCAATATTCAGTAACAACACTTGTGGCCTGACACAAACAGAGACCCTAACTAACTAACTATAGGCCTGGGCAGAACAAATGTCTCTCCAACAAGCAGGCAGTCTTGCTGTATATGTTGCTTAGTTCCTCTGCTCTCATCAGCCTTCCTGGCAGCTAGAGATGAGCGAATCGAACTTGGCGAAGTGGAATTCGTTTCGAATATTAGGAAAATTTCGATTCGCGCCGAATCCGAAAATTAGCAGACTTCGGATGCGCGAATCGAAATTTTTCCAAAAATGGCGGCGACATGTGCGGCGACGGAGCGGGGATCTGTGGCAAGGCGTGCAGACAAGGCGCGCTGACCCATAATGCATTCATTCATGACATGTGATCGCATTAGCCAATCAGCAGCCAGCCAGCCAGCACTGTGTAATGGTCGAGCTATAAATTGCGGCCATTTTAGAATTCTCCATTAGCCTCCAGTCATTCAAGAGAGACAGACCACCTGTCTGTATTGAGGGACAGAGTTAGGGCCACAGAATCGTTACTGAGGGACAGACACAGAATTGTTACTGAGGGACAGACACAGAATTGTTACTGAGGGAGGGACAGTAACAGAATTGTTACTGAGGGACAGTAACAGAATTGTTACTGAGGGACAGACACAAAGTGTTACTGAGGGACAGACACAAAAGTGTTACTGAGGGACAGACACAAAAGTGTTACTGAGGGACAGACACAAAAGTGTTACTGAGGGACAGACACAAAAGTGTTACTGAGGGACAGACACAGAATTGTTACTGAGGGACAGACACAGAATTGTTACTGAGGGACAGACACAGAATTGTTACTGAGGGACAGACACAGAATTGTTACTCAGGGACAGACACAGAATTGTTACTCAGGGACAGACACAGAATTGTTACTCAGGGACAGACACAGAATTGTTACTCAGGGACAGACACAGAATTGTTACTCAGGGACAGACACAGAATTGTTACTCAGGGACAGACACAGAATTGTTACTCAGGGACAGACACAGAATTGTTACTCAGGGACAGACACAGAATTGTTACTCAGGGACAGACACAGAATTGTTACTCAGGGACAGACACAGAATTGTTACTCAGGGACAGACACAGAATTGTTACTCAGGGACAGACACAGAATTGTTACTGAGGGACACAGAATCGTTGAATTAAAGAGTATGTCAGACAACACATGCAGAGGAGGCAATGTTTTAGGAGCGAGCAGACGTGGCAGCAGAGGAAGGGGTCGAGGCAGCACTAGTCGCAGCCAGAGGCCAGTGCTCCCGGTGTCATCCAGCGGTCGTGTCTCCACCGACAACCCTGCCGTCATCGATTGGTTGGCTCGGTCGTCTTCCTCTTCCCAGGTCACCTCTGACACCTACAGCCAACGGTCGGTGGGTACCTCAGACACAACCGTTAGTTGGCATGGCCCGGGAGCAAGCCCACTGAAATCACGTGTCTTCTACCTGCCCCTGTCCTTTGGTGTTCCCTCACCAAGCGAAGTATCGCATGCTGTGGGCTCAGCCCCACTGTACAGTGAGGAAGAGCTAACAGAGGGCGGTCAGGAACGGGGGGAGACATCCGCCTCTTCAGCAGCCAGGCGAAGAAGTACTGGCGAGGAGAGTGGCTCGGTAGCCGGTCTAGAGACAGGTCTGTCTCCTGACCCACACGCAGCCAAGGGGGCTAGTAGTGAGGCGGAGACCCTAATTGATGATGATGAGGCTGATCGCACTTGGCAGCCTCGTCGTCATCAGGCTATTGCTTCCGCATCATCAGGAGAAGAGGGTGCCAGCTTGGCAGCGAGCAAAACAGTCGGTGGGTTGCCCAGGAGGCAGCAGGGTCGCAGCAGTGTCAGTGGAGGCAAACGGCCACGGAGTAGAGCACCAGCTCCACTGCAGCCTACCACCACGGCCAGTAGTGGTGCCGGTGTGCACGGAGGAAGTAGCAGTCAGCCAGTGAGGAGTAGCGGGGGCAAAGTTTCCTACTCGGCGGTGTGGCAATTTTTTCGTCAAGCCGCCCGAGGAAGTAAACGTAGCCGTATGTCGACTATGTGGCCAGAAAGTCAAGCGTGGCCAGGGGGCCCATGTTGGGACTACAGCGTTGCGTCTGCATATGCAGCGTCGCCATTTGGTGGCCTGGGAAAACCGTGATAAAGATACGGCGGTTCTGCCTGCCTCCTCATGCTGCTGCCAGGTCCAGAGTGTCTCATGGGTCCCTGTACGGCCTCCCATTGCTGCTGTCTCCATCGCCACACTCTGCCATGTGCCACTTTCAGGTCTCCTCACACTGCTGGTGGGTTCCATTTTGTCATAGGGTGCTGGCAGATTACGGGCCTCCCATTGCTGCTGCCAGGCCCGTAATCTGCCATGGGCCCCTGTACCGCCTCCTCATGCTGCTGCCAGGTCCAGAGTCTCTCATGGGTCCCTGTACGGCCTCCCATTGCTGCTGTCTCCATCGCCACACTCTGCCATGTGCCACTTTCAGGTCTCCTCACACTGCTGGTGGGTTCCATTTTGTCATAGGGTGCTGGCAGATTACGGGCCTCCCATTGCTGCTGCCAGGCCTGTAATCTGCCATGGGCCCCTGTACCGCCTCCTCATGCTGCTGCCAGGTCCAGAGTCTCTCATGGGTCCCTGTACGGCCTCCCATTGCTGCTGTCTCCATCGCCACACTCTGCCATGTGCCACTTTCAGGTCTCCTCACACTGCTGGTGGGTTCCATTTTGTCATAGGGTGCTGGCAGATTACGGGCCTCCCATTGCTGCTGCCAGGCCCGTAATCTGCCATGGGCCCCCGTACCGCCTCCTCATGCTGCTGCCAGGTCCAGAGTGTCTCATGGGTCCCTGTACGGCCTCCCATTGCTGCTGTCTCCATCGCCACACTCTGCCATGTGCCACTTTCAGGTCTCCTCACACTGCTGGTGGGTTCCATTTTGTCATAGGGTGCTGGCAGATTACGGGCCTCCCATTGCTGCTGCCAGGCCCGTAATCTGCCATGGGCCTGTCAGGAATCTAGGAATGACCAGAAAGGTGTGGACTGGCACAGGGAAACGCAGGTCTCAGGTACAATATAATACAGGTTATTATTAGCCACCCAGATATATATATCTATATAAACGCACAGTGAGCAAACCAACCTTCCACTAATCTTTAGGAGGTGCAGGAACACAGGCGTAGTCAGGGCTGGAGAGGTGGAACGGTCAGGCCGGCCGTAGGGTTCTGTAATGACCGTTTGGTGGTACCTCTAGCGGTCCTCAGGGCAGGATTCCCCAGGGCGCGGAGTCTAAGCCCCAGTCTGCCTTTTCACCAGAGCCCCTGATGGTGGGGATGGACTTGGCGTAGGACTGAGACCAGGTCGCGGCCCCGGAGTACCCCTGCTAGTGGTAGAGGGATCCGCCAGAGGTATGTGCAGGTACGGCTGGATCCGTGCCGGATGGATGGATGGCAGAGTAGTTAGCGTGGTCAGACAAGCCGGGTCGGTAACGGTGGAGGCAGATCAGTACAGAGCAGCAGGCAAAGAGTAAACGGGTCACAAGCCAAGGTACAGCAACAGGAAGTCAAACAGCATAGGAGTAGGCAGAAGAATAGTCAGGGATGAGCCAGTAGTCAGAACAGGAGACGGTCAACAGAGATCAGGATCAAGCCGGGTCAGCAACGAAGCAGGAACACAGGATACAGGTACAGAGGCTCATGGGAAAACATACACCAAGGCCCAGAGCACAGACCTGGTCATGCCTTATATACACCTTTCTGTAATCAGCCCCCAGGTTTGGCTGATTGTGAGCTTCTGGCTGCTAAGAGCACCCGCTGGTCAGCTCTGGTACTGCAGCCCACACGGCAGGTGAGTTCCACCACCTGCTGGTGAGAGCACCCGCTGGTCAGCTCTGGTACTGCAGCCCACACGGCAAGTGGGAGTCCCACCACCAGTGCTGCTGAGTCCGTGTAATCCTGACAGGGCCCCTGTACCGCCTCCTCATGCTGCTGCCAGGTCCAGAGTCTCTCATGGGTCCCTGTACGGCCTCCCATTGCTGCTGTCTCCATCGCCACACTCTGCCATGTGCCACTTTCAGGTCTCCTCACACTGCTGGTGGGTTCCATTTTGTCATAGGGTGCTGGCAGATTACGGGCCTCCCATTGCTGCTGCCAGGCCCGTAATCTGCCATGGGCCCCCGTACCGCCTCCTCATGCTGCTGCCAGGTCCAGTGTGTCTCATGGGTCCCTGTACGGCCTCCCATTGCTGCTGTCTCCATCGCCACACTCTGCCATGTGCCACTTTCAGGTCTCCTCACACTGCTGGTGGGTTCCATTTTGTCATAGGGTGCTGGCAGATTACGGGCCTCCCATTGCTGCTGCCAGGCCCGTAATCTGCCATGGGCCCCCGTACCGCCTCCTCATGCTGCTGCCAGGTCCAGAGTCTCTCATGGGTCCCTGTACGGCCTCCCATTGCTGCTGTCTCCATCGCCACACTCTGCCATGTGCCACTTTCAGGTCTCCTCACACTGCTGGTGGGTTCCATTTTGTCATAGGGTGCTGGCAGATTACGGGCCTCCCATTGCTGCTGCCAGGCCCGTAATCTGCCATGGGCCCCTGTGTACCGCCTCCTCATGCTGCTGCCAGGCCCGTAATCTGTCATGGGTCCCTGTATGGCCTCCCATTGCTGCTGTCTCCATCGCCACACTCTGCCATGTGCCACTTTCAGGTCTCCTCACACTGCTGGTGTGTTCCATTTTGTCATAGGGTGCTGGCAGATTACGGGCTTCCCATTGCTGCTGCCAGGCCCGTAATCTGCCATGGGCCCCCCGTACCGACTCCTCATGCTGTGACGTTGCAACAAGGTGGAATTCAACCCTACATATGTTAGACCGCCTTTACGAACAGCGAAAGGCCATCACCGATTTCCTGATGTTACAAGCGGATAAAGGTACTCCCCTGTGTAACTTAGATGTCAGCCATTGGCAGCTCATGCGTGACACCTGCCGCTTGCTCAGACCCTTTGAGGAGGCCACGCTATTCGTGAGTCGGCAGGACTATGGGATGAACGACGTCATTCCTCTGTTGCACGTCCTGGAACAAATGCTGTTAACAATGGCTGGTCAGGGTGCGGTAGACGTGGCGCACAGATCTCAACGCCACATGACCCCTGTGGGGGCAGGACAGGAAGAAGAGGAGGAGGTAGAGGAGGACATTGGTGCTCAGGAATTATTGAGTGAAATGGGTGGTTTTTCCACTCAGCAGACAGGAGTGGAGGAGCAGGAGCATCTGGTAGAGGAGGAGGAGGAGACAGAGGACCCAGACGCACCGTGGCAGTATGCTGTGGAGATGGAGGCAGGGAGTCCCTCGCATTCCTTGGCACAAATGGCCCATAGCATGCTCGGTTGCTTGCGTAGCGACAGCCGAATAATAACCATCAGACAGAGGGATGACTTTTGGCTGTCCACCTTGTTGGACCCTCGCTATTGTTCAAAAATGGTGGCATTTTTCACACCTGCTGAGAGGGAGGCCAAAATAACGTACTATAAAAACCACCTATGTAGTCAGTTGGTCTCTGCCTTTCTGCGCCAACGTCCATCCTCAGACACTGTGGGCCCTGTGCGCTCGCGTTCCGCTGCCATGGCAGCAGGGGAGGGGTGGGGTGGTAGGAGCAGTGGCAGCTCCACCAGCAGCAGCTGCCTCAGTCTGCAGTCGATGATGAGTAGCTTTCTTCACCAGCGCAGTGAGGAAACTACTAACCAGCCGCAGCAGCAGCAGCATCAGGTGGACCTGGAGCAGGACCTCAAACAACAGGCTCGGGCCTACTTGGACAGCACCCTGCCAACCGAGGTAGACAATCCCCTTGACTACTGGGCAACGAAACTTGACCTTTGGCCCCAACTAGCTGAATTTGCCCTTGAAAGGCTGTCATGCCCGGCCAGTAGCGTGGCATCGGAGCGCGTGTTTAGTGCGGCAGGAGGTATTGTAACTCCGCGGAGGACACGACTGTCCACCCAAAGTGTGGAGAGACTCACGTTTGTGAAAATGAATCAGGCGTGGATTAGTCTAGATTTCAAACCACCAGTTCCTGACACAACTGACTAAATCCGCCATGAATCATGCCCCAAACATGTTATTATTTTTAACATAGGCCTCTGTATGGCCTTCAATTTAAGCTGCTTACGCTTCGCCACTCTGCCATGGGCCCCTGTACCGCCTCCTCTTGCTGCTGCCAGGTCCAGAGTGTGTCATAGGTCCCTGTACGGCCTCCCATTGCTGCTGACTTCATCGCCAGACTCTGCCATGTGCCACTTTCAGGTCTCCTTACACTGTTGGTGGGTTCCATTTTGTCATAGGGTGCTGGCAGATTACGGGCCTCCCATTGCTGCTGCCAGGCCCGTAATCTGCCATGGGCCCCTGTACCGCCTCCTCATGCTGCTGCCAGGTCCAGAGTGTGTCATGGGTCCCTGTACGGCCTCCCATTGCTGCTGTCTCCATCGCCACACTCTGCCATGTGCCACTTTCAGGTCTCCTCACACTGCTGGTGGGTTCCATTTTGTCATAGGGTGCTGGCAGATTACGGGCCTCCCATTTCTGCTGCCAGGCCCGTAATCTGCCATGGGCCCCTGTACCGCCTCCTCATGCTGCTGCCAGGTCCAGAGTGTCTCATGGGTCCCTGTACGGCCTCCCATTGCTGCTGTCTCCATCGCCACACTCTGCCATGTGCCACTTTCAGGTCTCCTCACACTGCTGGTGGATTCCATTTTGTCATAGGGTGCTGGCAGATTACGGGCCTCCCATTGCTGCTGCCAGGCCCGTAATCTGCCATGGGCCCCCGTACCGCCTCCTCATGCTGCTGCCAGGTCCAGAGTGTCTCATGGGTCCCTGTACAGCCTCCCATTGCTGCTGTCTCCATCGCCACACTCTGCCATGTGCCACTTTCAGGTCTCCTCACACTGCTGGTGGGTTCCATTTTGTCATAGGGTGCTGGCAGATTACGGGCCTCCCATTGCTGCTGCCAGGCCCGTAATCTGCCATGGGCCCCCGTACCGCCTCCTCATGCTGCTGCCAGGTCCAGAGTGTCTCATGGGTCCCTGTACGGCCTCCCATTGCTGCTGTCTTCATCGCCACACTCTGCCATGTGCCACTTTCAGGTCCCCTCACACTGCTGGTGGGTTCCATTTTGTCATAGGGTGCTGGCAGATTACGGGGCCTCCCATTGCTGCTGCCAGGCCCGTAATCTGCCATGGGCCCCCGTACCGCCTCCTCATGCTGCTGCCAGGTCCAGAGTGTCTCATGGGTCCCTGTACGGCCTCCCATTGCTGCTGTCTCCATCGCCACACTCTGCCATGTGCCACTTTCAGGTCTCCTCACACTGCTGGTGGGTTCCATTTTGTCATAGGGTGCTGTATGGCCTCCCATTGCTGCTGCCTCCACCGCCACACTGTGGCTCCACACTCTGGTTTTGGCCCCGTGACTGCCCAAATGAGTGAAGTGTGCGGTGATTCTAAGATCGACGGCACTCATCTGCATGTCATACTGACTGACAGTATTATTTCTCTTCCCCAGCAGACTCCAAGGGCATTTAAATTAAAGGTACAGTGTTCTGCACTAATATAAAGGCTCTCTGAAGCCTAGAAACACCCTTTTTATAAGTTAAATTCGCAGCGAATATATTCGCATCGAATCGAATTTATTCCTCGAATTCGCCGAATCAGCCGAATTGAATTTTTGAATACTTCGCTCATCTCTACTGGCAGCAATCTCATCAGCATTCCTGGCAGCAATCTCATCAGCTTCCTGGCAGCAATCTCATCAGCATTGTCCAAAACATGGCTGCAGTCTTCTCTTCCTGTTCACTAAACTCCAACTCTGAGTGCAAAACCCCACCTCTTCCTGAATATACAAATATCTATGCAGTCTGAGCCTGTGTTAGAAAAACAGTGACATCTTGTGGCTAAACCGCAGAATGTCAGTCAAAACATTAATTTACTTCCACACAAACAGTGTTCAAACAATGAGAGCTGTTTCCCCATCTCACACACATACAAAAGGAAACACACACATCAGGGGCGCTGACATACAAAATCGTAACTTGCACTACACGTGCACGTAACTTACACACTATCGCCATGCACTTCAGAATGACAACAAGAATTCTAGGGCCATTATACACAGTTACTTTTAAACTGTCTATGCCTATGGAAAATATAGGGGGCAGTTTGTTGTTTTTTTTACAGATGCACGCAATTTTAAATTGACTTTAACCGTCTGTTTTTTTTTTTTTATTTAAATAAAAAACCTCCTTTACTTACCTACTCTGTGCAGTGGTTTTGCACAGAGCAGCTCCAATCCTCCTCTTCTGGGATCCCCTGCCAGCGCTCCGGGCTCCTCCTTTTCACCATGTGCCCCCATGGAAAGCTGCTTTCCATAGGGGCACTTGTGCAGGCTTGCTTCTGAGTTGCCCTTTCTGCATCTATTGACACAGAGCGGGCGACTTGGCCCTGTCCCCCACTTCCTTGTCACAGTATTTGATTGACAGCAGTGGGAGCCAATGGGTTCTGCTGCTATCAATATGCTCAGTAATGAGGGAGACAGCAGTGAGAGCCATTGCTCTCATGCTTTAGAACCACTTTAAACCTTGCCTTCAGCAAATGTTCATTGCACTTAAGTATAGGTTAGAGCTATGAACCATATCTCAGCAGCAGCTGCATTTATTAATGTCTAGCACTACCTCTGGTGGAATTTAATTTATTTATTACAGGTATTTATATAGCGCCACCAATGTATGCAGTGCTTTACATATATATCGTACATTCCCATCAGTCCCTAACCCTCAAGGGGTGCACAATCTAAGGTCTCTAACTCACATTCATACATACACATACTAGGGCCAATGTAGACAGAAGCCAATTACCTTACCAGCATGTCTTTGGAGTGTGGGAGGAAACTGGAGTACCCGGAGGAAAACCACACAGGCACAGGGAGAACATGTAAACTCCAGGCAGGTGATGCCATGGTTGGGATTTGAAAAGATGACCCTAGTACTGCCAGGCGGAAGTACTAACCATTTAGCCACTGTGCTGCCCTCATAAATGAAAGGCACTAGATATTCTGACTTACCAGAGTGCATGCACGGTATCAGATATTTAAAGGAGGGATATTGACACATGTCAACCATTACTGCAATATGCTGTATGTAGGCTGGTAATGGATGGATGACATTTGCCATTAAATGGTTGTCATGTGCATTATATACCTGATATTACATCTGGACAATTGTTCTGTGTGTATGAAGACAACAACGTCTTCTTTTAAAGTGGTAATTGGTGGAGAGTAGATGTTTGATCAATTAGGTGATAATGATATGCCCTACTGGGTGAGTTTGTACTAATAAAGATTTTTTCAGAATATTTAGTTAGATTATTATTTGCAGGCCACTTGGTTTCAGTTTATATGGTCGCTGTCTCATCTGTGATGACTATGTCATAGCTTATATTTGTATAGTGAAGTCTCCTTGGAGTACGCGTTATCAATCACCAGGCGTTTCTGCTTGTGACATGCCCAGCTCCCATGCTTAATGGGAAAGGGAACAAGAGCATGCTCACTCTGCCACTGTCAATCTCACCAAGTTGGCATTACTGCCTATGATATGGTCAGCTTGCAGTTGCAAGGCACAGAGTGCTTTGTACTCTTTGGGAGAGAATGGGAGCATGCACACTTTGGCTAGATCAGCCTGCAGAACATTGCCACTGGGAAAATGGAAATAAAAGAAACTAGCTGGATCACCAGGTATTTTATTTTCACAGGAACACTTTTACAAAAACTGCATGTATAAAATGCTATTTTCTTAGGAAGCCTTTAAACAAGAAATAACTTTAGTGACACTTTAAAGCAGCCTTTTTCAACTAAGGTGCCTTCAGGTATCTTCAGGGGTGCCTTGACAAAATGCCTAAAAATTGCCCAAAAATTGTATAAATGCAAGCGGGCGGATCAAGCTTACCTTTTAGTTACCCAAAGCCAAAGGTGCGCCATTACAACTTTCTATCCACCGACGACATAAAAAACTAATGATGTCATCAGTTGATAAGAAGGATATCAGGCCTCTGCACAGCATCCTTGCTTGCCCCACCAGTGTGCAAAGATGTATTTGCTTTGGAAGAATAAATCACCTCTGACATTAGATGTCCCACATGTACAGATGATGCTGTTTTCTGTAAAACTATTAGTTTAGTTTTTACATTTTGTAATGGGTGCCTTGAGATTGTGCAGAATTGTAAAGGGTGCCTTGGCTGAAAAAAAAAGGTTGGGAAACACTGCTTTAAAGGTTCAGTGTTTGGATGAATGTCTGAACAAGAAAAGTTTGGTCCAAAGCTGTGTGTAGACCCAACCAGGAGCTCATCCCTAGTTAGGACTAGTTCAGGCTGAACTGCAGGCTTCAGTTCAGATTTAACCTCTACCTGTGAAAAGGGTTCTTTATTGGGAAACTAAGAATTAGACTAGATTATGGTTCTCGCAGAATCAGCTCTTAAAAAAGTTGGTTGTGTTTCTTAATAAAAAAAAATTCCAGGATATTTTCAGACCTGAAAAGACATAATGGAGTGTTTGACCCTGTTTAGAGCCAAGAGGGAGAAGGTATGGACCTGGCCTTTTCAGTTTTTGTTGCCTTCTTCTGGAAATTGCAGGGATTAGATATGTTAAGGGTGCCAGGGTGTTTCTTCTCTTTCTTTCAAAAAGAAAAAATGGTCAAGGTCATGCCTTATTATCAGCTTAACTAACCAAGTCACTATTTATGGTGATTCTCTTTGATGTGGGAGGACCAGTGAATTGTTTGCCTCCTTGTTGGTTATAAAGTTATAGCACAGCTTCTCCTCTACTCTCCTTGAGGCCGATGATAATTTTACTGTATGTATCTGTGTATTGACTACACACTGCTTGATGTGGTTTCTTCATTACCAAGCCTGTCATTCCTTCCATGTTCTATGTGACCTACAAATATAATTGATCATAAGCCTTGACTAATTGAAATCATGAGAAGATGAAAATTACATGTGACATCTGAGATGTCTCGTCCATTACCACTGTTTACACAAGGAATCTCAACTCTCCCATCTGCAGTCCCCTCTGTGGGATATTTCCTTTGTACTTCACTAATGACTCATGTTACATGCTTTCTGGCCGCATAGGCCACTTCTGCGCACATTAAAGCCACTCATTCAAGAAGACGAGCCCATCACTTCTTGTGGTCTACTGCCCATTACTGCTATAGCATTACAGCTGTATATTAGCTTGATGAGTACAGTTTATGTATTTTTAATATGATGTTTGCTCATTCAACTGAATCTGAATACTTTGTGTGGAATGTATTTTGTGGAGATAAAGCAGCAGAGCTATCAAGAAATGATAATAGAATGTGATCCAACACCTTCCACAATATTACACATAAGTGGTTCTCAACCACCTGTCCCTGTACGGTTGTTGTCCTACTGTTGTTGGCAGAACCAGATTAAAAATCAACAAGGCCATAGACAGACTAATAGTTTTGGCTCCCCCTCATGCCAAGCCTCCTCTATATGCATTCCTTCTTCACATATTCCAATAATAAAAAAAAAAAGAAAATCAAATGTTTCTGCATTTTTTACTTTATTCTTTGATGGATATTAAAACAATTTCACAACTTCTGTGGGTCTCACTTATACACCAATAGGTTTTAAGATCTTCCCATTTCTGTCCCCCCCACCTCCCTTATACCCTAATATGTTGTAGGTTCTTCAACCGTCTGACCCTTCCCTTATATCTTAACATATTATAAACTCTTCCACCTTCTGTATCCCTCCTTACACCTTAATAGATTGTAAGTTCTTTTGCTTTCTGTATCGCTTCCTTATACTTTAATAGCCCCTCCTAGATTGTAAGCTCAGAGGAGCAGGGCCCTCCTATCCCTCTTGTACTGAACTGTATTCTTGCTGTACTGTCTCCCATTATATTGTAAAGCGCTGAGCAAACTGTTGCCGCTATATAAATCGTGTGTAATAATAATAGCCTGTGAGCTCTTCTACCTTCTTATCACTCACTGATATGCAAATAGATTGAGAGCTCTTTCACCTTTTGTATCCATCTCTTATACCCTAATAGACTGTACCACCTACTGCTTTCTCTAGCCTCTCTTATACCCTACCAAATGCAAAATCTACCACCTTTTGTATCCTCTAGTATACCCTAATATATTGTAACCTCTTCCACGTTCTGCATCTCCCTTATAACCTAATATACTGTAAACTTCTCCACCTTCTGTAGTCTCTTATTGCCCAAGTTTCTAAGACCTTCTTTATTCTTCCCCTAAAGCCTTTTAGGCTGTAACCTCTTGCACCCTCCGTTTTTTTTCCCTTATACCTTAACAGGCTGTAAACTCTTCCACCTTCTTAATCCTTTCTTCTACCCTAATAGGCTGTAAGCTGTTCTACCCTCTATGCCCTCTCTTGTAACCTGTAGTGCTTACTCCCGTACGAGCCACTGGAAATTTGCCTAGGTTCTTCTCCAGTAGATTGCCTCATAGCCAGGCACACAAACACAGTCACTTGTTTCCTCAATAACCAGTCTAGGTGTGTTCTTTTTATTTTTGGAGAACTTGGATAGGGATGATGGAATTGAGTGGGATATTCCAAAAAACAGCAGCTATGTACAAATTGAGGATTGCAAGCTCCTTTCTGTAAGGCTGAAGCAGAAGTCCTTGAATATAGCAAAATGTAGACTTGGCTTTTAGTTGAACAGTAAAAGCACACAGGCTTCCTTCTTTAGAGCAACAAGATTGGTAAAAGCACACCGACTTCTTTCTTTAGAGCAAGCAAGAGCAGAGTTCCATCACAGAGAACTAAGCTTTTCAGGACACAAGCCGATGTCCCCTTTAGCAACCAAAGGGAGGTGG